TAGCATGGCTTACGTGGTCACTTGTATAGGTTGAGGTTGCTCTTCTAGGCTGTTGCTTGGCGTGGCGAGAATCTTGCTCCACTTTCTCCGGTCCCCGAGATTGGGCTTCCAGTAGCTCTGGAGAGAGCTTTCGCACCTGTGGCCACTAACGGTCATCATTTCTCTGCTTTGTTTCAAGACCCGCATCAGAAAGCTTTTGAATGGTGGTACTTTTCCAGTTGGTCTACCTGCTCTTCACGTAGCTCTGCATGCCGTCGTTTAGGTGCTTTTTTTTTCTGGAGATAGGCACTGCTAAATCCACTCCTCCAAGACCCCCCCGGAGGTCGAAGTTAATCTTAAATGTTTCCATTTTATGCTTTGAAAGTTTGTTTCATAACGGAAGAAATTTAAATATATTTATAAAAATGACAAGTCAAATCAAGCAATCTGATTGGTCGATAGCGTTTTTGCGGACCTCTTTGATTACAGATTTGAAAACATCGTTGCTTGCTTTAAAAGTAGCACAATTCATTATGTTAAACCTTCGAAAGTATCTAGATATCCCTGCCCTAATGCCAAAGGAACTGCACACTGAATATGTTTTGCCGTTTTGCCGTTTGATGTCTACTGTATGTCTGGACCGCTGCGTCAAAAAGGAGGGCTTCTGCCCCGTTACTTCTCCGCTGCTTTCTTGTGCCCAGCACTTAGTACTCCCATGGAACTAATTACAGATTGTACAATATTGTATACAGTGTGAATAAGCAAATGCACTTTCCATCTGTGTTTCCATGTAATTCAATTGACTCAAAATAGTTCCTGATAGATGATTTAAGAGAATATTATAATCAAAGAGCATCCTCATTGGCATTTATACAGTAAACAGATCCCTCTGACATTTTGACTTGCCACAGCAGGAGGATCAGAGCTGAAATGAAAACCACTAATGGCTCCATTAACTCTCAGTGTGCCAGGAAGCCAGGGATAATAATGGGTTAAACCTGGCAGGGTAAGATGTCCAGAGTGATGAAACAAACAACAAAAACCAAATGCCTATTTTGTTCTTTTACAGGCTCAGCTTCCGGCTTGCCTATATTTTCTCGTATAACCTGTTCCAGTTCTGTGGACATACATGGATACTGGCCAATACCATAGCCAGGTATTTCACATTTGGTAAAGGTAAGGTTTATCAAAAAGGAGTACAGCTCTTTAACTCAACTTTGTTTTTGTTGAGCAGCAATAGGCTCAAGTTTCACCATACTGCCGTCGTGTCATTCTGAAGGAATGTAATGTTTGCCTTTGCAGATGCCTTAGCAGACACGTTCTACTCGGTGGGCTTTGTGATGAGTCTGTGTCAGCTGCTCTCCATCCTGGAGCTCTTCCACATCGCAGACGGGATTGAGAAAGCCAGACTCCTCCCTCGCTTTGTGCAAGTGTGTATCACCCTCAGTTTTTCTGTGTGAATGCTCAAATGTGCATTCCAGATGACTTTGTCCTTTTTCAGCGCTTGGTGGAATGTGCATGTCTGTTTTTCAGGTTATGGAGAAGAACATTCTGCTGATCATGTTGATCTTGCTGGAGGAGATCCAGAGTAAACCCGTTGTGTGTGCACAGTTGTTCTTGTGGAACATTCTGGACCTCCTACGGTATGAACATGACACTGCGTTCACCTCAAGAATCTGCAAAATGTCAGGTCTTAACAAATGTAGGCGCATTAACTGCTTTTCTCCTAGATTTATTTCAATTTGTTAAACATTTTGTGTACTCCCAACTGATAACGTTGCGCAGGGATGATGAGTTGTAGGGGACACTCGTGCCAAATTTCAGGATAGGATTCCCTTAAGGCAGGGGTCTGCAACCTTTTTGACCAAAAGAGCCATTTTGCTCCTTTTTCCCCAAACATTTTTTGTCTGGAGCCGCAAAACATATTTCATAGCTTGATAGCTAAGTTGTATTTATTGTTATATCATTCAAAAACTACAGTTTTTTTGCATTTATTAGGCTATTTATTACATTATATAAAACTGTTAACCTCTAATAAGAAACAAAGAACTCCTATAAGGAGAATTACAAATAATACACAGGCCTACTTTAAAATAAATTAAACACAGCACTTGGAGAGTCCTCTGCACATTTGAAGGAAAAAAAAATATTATTAAAATGGGCCCACTTTGAAATAAATAAAACATATAGCTGCACCCTAAAACGAGTTAAAGGTAGGGTAGGTAAGAATGGAGAAACCAGCTCGTGTGCGCTAGAATTTGAAAATACACAACCGGAAAAAATAGGCCTCTTCCTTCAGACTTTCTTACAGATTCCCTCCTCCAACACACACGAACGCGCATCATGAGATAAGTTTGTGCCAGATGGAAGGCTGACAGGCAGGTAGGCCATCCAGTTATTTTAGCCGGGCCGGCTAAGATGTCGTGCTTTTTACAGCGCTACGGCTTCCAGAGATTAATTTTTGTATGTATTTATTGTCAAAGCATTTAATATATTCATTGCTATCGGGACGTTAAGAGCATTCCATGGAATATAACAAAAAGTGTTTTCTGAAATAAATTACATACCCCATTGAATTATGACTGAAGATTGTCAGCTGTCTTCCTCTCCCTTGTTGTTCCTCGATACGTAAAGGCTGCAGCACCGTTGACAACTTCTCTCTACATATCAAACATACCGGTAAACCAGCATCGTTTGCTGTGAAAGCATATAACTCTGTCCACACAGAATTAAATCCTGTGTTCCTCCGGTACTTTTCTTTGATTTATCCATAGTTCGCTCATCGAGCCGGAGGTCCCCGGTTATTCACCCGCAGGAAAAGGCGCTCGCGCGGGACCGTAGCAGGATGTGACGCATATTTTAGTTGACCTAATTAAAACCGTTTTGTTTTTTATTTATGTGTCACAGTATCACCTCAAAATACAAGATACGAAGCATTTTCAACCGTACAACAAAATATAAATAGTCCTACAAATACTTTTATTTTATTTCCTTCTTATTTTTGTCTAAGCTCAAGGGAGCCAGAGCAGAGGGCTTAAAGGGCCGCATGCGGCCCGTGGGCCGCGGGTTGCCGACCCCTGCCTTAAGGCGATCCAAAGATGAGGGGAGAATGGGACATATGTGAGGTCACAGTGACCTTGACCTTTTGATCTTTTTGCAAAATGTAAAGAAAATTCCCCTCGGGCAAGAATGGGATGGATGAACAGTACAGACAGATGATGCATACAAACAGTGCATAGTGTAAGGGAAACTTCTGCAGCAATGGAGAGTCAGGACTCAGAGAGACACGAGGAGAGTTGGAGCTTTGATGTCAAACTCTGGTAGTTTATTACAAGTATCGGCCGGAGAATTTCACATCACAATTCACAGCAGCCAGAGGTTCTGACTGCACGGAGAGTTGCCACGTCAATTCTGACCAGCCTCTCTCTCGATAGACCTTTTAACTAGTTTACAGAGAGTTAATCAACATATTGAGGGAGATAACGTAAACACCTGGGAACACTGGAGATAGCCCCAACATCTGGAGACACTGAATCACTTGCCTGACTCTTAGAACGAGAGTTGACCGGTCATTAAACTGAGAATATCATCATATAAGTGCAGCAGCACATTCCTTAAAGGAGATAACAGAGTCAGGGTTGATTATAAACGTCAACAGGCGAAAAGGTTAAATATCTTAGGAGTAAAGACAGAATTATTCCCTAACACATAGAGTATACATATGAAATCAAACGGAATAAAGGGATTAGTGCAGCTTTCAAACTAACATGCTACGACACGAACAGTGTAGTTCAAGTATTTTCCTCTCAGAGTTTGTGAAGAGGGTCTGCAGAACAGTTATTCCAGTCAGGTTTGTGAATAAATTGGTATGTAGCAGATCAGAATTAAATGAGTGTTGAGTAATGGCCTTATGGGAACCGAGGCACGTCTTAGTGTGATGAATAAAAGGCTTATAATTAAATCAACTGTCAGTTATTGTGTAAGAGTGCACCAGTATGCCCTCAGTTAATATTTGGATGTGTGCCGTTTGATGACAGGTACCCACATGAGCTGCTGTGTGTTATGGATACACCCTCCATCGCCATGCTGTGGATACGCTACACACTCTGGATCCCCTTATACATCCTGACAGTGGCCATTGAAGGTGACATTAATCAACTATCACGTTGTTGAACTGGCAGTTATATTTAAAAAAAAACATAAATGGCTTAACAGGGCTCAGAATGCATCTCAATACATTTAACATCATAATGAGAAGATATACTGTAGCTGCCTGACACGCTGAACTATGAGGGGCCGTACAGGCCGTAATTCATACTGGTCCTCTCACGCACATACCTTCTCCTTTTACATACATACATTTTCACTCTCATATACATATATATTTACACTCACACATTCATATATTTTGCTCTCATATTTATAAATTTTTCACATACGGTATATACACACATTGAGCCCAGAAAATGAATGTTATTAAGAGCTGTAAATATAATAAGCCTATGTCTAAAATGGTCAACATTGTTAGGAGATTCTGCACTGCGGTCACCTCAGCCGTCTCTCGAGTTTGTTTTTCAAATCAGCTGCTCTTTGTTTTTTTCCCTGCTATATTTGACGAGTGATACAAATATTTTTTACCAAAAGTTCTCAATAAAACTGACACTGTTGGACTCGGTACTAGTTTGACTGCTACTAACAATACATTGAAGTACTTTTACTGTGTATTTTTTGAGAAATCCTCTGTCAAAGTCCCCTCCTGAGAACAAAATCGAGCCACTTCTGCTAAGTTTGATGAGGGAATTCCTTTTTGTTGCCATTAGTTCTTCGTGAGATTGATCCTGTTGGACTCAGTACTAGTGAAACTACCCCACAAGTACTATGAAGTACTTTTACTGTGTACTTACTTTATAAACTCTGAATCTTGTGGTGCTTGAAGAAATACACACTGGCTAAGCCGGCCAGGTTATATGCCTTTTTTGGACTCCTTTTTTGCAATATTTATTCAAATGTCACTAGTTATTTAAACAAACCACTATCTGAGGATAATACAAGCAACCATAAAACACCCTTTACTAGAGCCATTGAAGCCCATGAAAAATTTATCCTTTCACACATCTTTTCATCTGCTGTATTAATAAAGTTGCCACGTGTTTTCAAAACCAAGGCACTATCTGTGCAGAACATTAAACATATTCTTCATTTGCAGTACTGTATTTTAAAAGTGTTCAGAAAGACTGCATCAATGATATGCTATATATATATATATGCATGTGGTGTTTGATATAGTTTACGTTCAATTTAAACTATTTTAGGCAGAAGCACATATATTGACTAAACCCTTTTTAATAATTTACTATTTAGAAAG